GGTAGCGCTTCGGGGGTGCGGGGGGGGGGGCCAAAAGGAACCAAGAAGCCATCTACTGCACCAATGTAAAGCATCGGACAGCTAAAGCCATCTACTGAACCAGTGTCCCATCGGACAAGTAGTAGTGGTTACATGCGGTCAGGGGGCGGAGCCTCACCTAGAATTATGGAGGAAAAAGCTGTCAGCTTCAAGTGTGAAGCTGACAGCTTTTTCTCCATTCAGATCGGCTTCTATCAGGTTACAGAGGAGGGAAATCCTCCCCCCCCCCGCCCCGCCGTGTAACCTGCCATGGACGGAGAGCGGAGTGTTAATTACAGGAGGCGCTGCATCCGGCTTTGGACAGCTAGTTAGGTTACACAGCAGCGGGCTTCTCCACTGCTTGTGTAACCTAACTATTGAAGCCAGAGCTGTCACAGACTCTACTCTTTGTTAGAGGCGTGAGCTCTGTGGATGGTTTGGGCCAATGGGCAAAGCGCCTCTGGTCCAAGCTGTCAAAACAAAAAAAGAAAAACACTGAGGCCATCGATCTTGATGCCTCAGCAGTGACGAGCAAGTGAGGGACAGGGAGGCTCCTCCTTGTCTCCTCCCTTCCTCCTTTACGCTAGCTTGGGGACGGGGGGTTGGGGCGGGGGTTCATAAGGTGGGGGTGGAGTTTTGTCCAGCAGGGGCGGTGCTTCGGCCGGGGGCGTGCTGGGGAATGCCTCACCTGGAACAAGAGTTACCGCACGTCACTAAGTAGTTAGTCATATTCAACTGGACTTAAGGGGGAAGTCCCTAGCTTTTTTGCAGCCCAAAAAGGCTAGGGACACCCTCAGGGTGGATGGGGGCTGCTGGATAGTGCACCCTCTTAGCAGTCTGGGACACTCTGCCCCGCATCCCGCCAAGCTCCTGGCAACCAGTGATGTTACTGGTTGCCAGAAGGTCGGTGGGACACCAGTCAGAGCATCCTAGGTTGCTAAGAGCTGGGCAGGGAGATATGTATGGCTCTTAGATACCTGGGATCATGCTCTGGCCAGAAAGGGGTGTGGCAGGCCCTCTGCAAACATTGTGCAGCAGAGCGGCAATGTTGCTCCGCCTGCCGCTCCCCATGTGACCCAAAGAAATGTCACTTGAGGCAACAGCCTCCGGCTGTCTCATTACAGGGACGGCCCTGTCCTTTAGTTCTACTGAGTGCCAGGAAGATACCCCCAGCATTTATAGCCACACAGGTACCTCAGTCAGCAATCACCAGAGAATGTGTCAAGTTAGATGCTGATTGCCCAAGAACAGGATGGGAGGAGTGAACGTTTTGTGGAAACACCCTGTTCTAGTATCTCATGGTGGCAGGGGGTTTGTGACGGGTGTCAATCCTTTAATTTACATGGCTCATGGCGTGAATGTCTGTCAAATCGCTGGTTTAGGTAGAGGATGTTAAAATGGTGTTATATATGTGGGTGATTCCATCAATGAACCCCAAAACACGGGGTTTGTTCCTTATATGAGGATAATGGGCAGAGCCATGAAAATTATTCCTTTCTACACTTTGACCAACTGTACATGCCGAAGAGCTGGTTATATCACCCAAACTGCCCAATATTTTATGTTTCAGGCTTGTTGGCCATCATCAGTGCAGTGTGTGGAAACCATGTCTTCTAGGGAGCTTGTTGGCCATCAACAGTGTGGTGTTTGGAAACCATGGCTTCTGTTGGCCATCATCAGTGTGGTGTATGGAAACCCTGGCTACTAGGGAGGTTGTTGGCCATCATCCATGCAGTGTTTGGAAACCATGGCTTCTAGGGAGCCTGTGGGCCGTTACCAGTGCGTGTTTAGAAACCATGGCTTCTAGGGAGCTTGTTGGCCATCATCAGTACAGTGTTTGGAAACCATGGCTTCTAGGGAGCTTGTGGGCCGTTACCAGTGCGTGTTTAGAAACCATGGCTTCTAGGGAGCTTGTTGGCCATCATCAGTACAGTGTTTGGAAACCATGGCTTCTAGGGAGCTTGTGGGCCGTTACCAGTGCGTGTTTAGAAACCATGGCTTCTAAAGAGCTAGTTGGCCATTACCAGTGCGGTGTTCAGAAACCATGGCTTCTAGGGAGCTTGTTGGCCATCATGAGTGCAGCGTTTGGAGCAGCGGCAGCCATGACTGGGCCCCTGTCCCGGTTCTGAGACACTCTCCTCCCATCCCACTACTGCCATTCGCAGCAATATTTAAGGCCTCCATACATGGCTTGACTTTCTGTGAATCAGCCCTCAGGCTGGACAAGAGAAAATCAATCAATTTCCCCATCAATGCTAACTGTGTGGATAGAGGAATCTGAATGGATACGAAGCTTGGTCTGGCTGGAGGGTTGAGAGGCAGCAGAGCCCGTCGTGTTGTGGGGGTGGCGTCCCAGGGGTGCTCAGAAAGTCACTTGGGTGTGGGACCCCACATTGACTCATTGATGCACTTGGTCACACACCACCTTGCATATTCTGCACATCGCCTCTTGGACAGGCCTTATGGCTAGTCCGGGGCCATATTTTTGCACTCCGGCCCCTAAGGCCTGTCAGCGTGGTGCACTGGCACTTTAGATTTATTTATAGCACTATATGCACTTTTTTATTTTAAATTTGACCCACCGATGCAGCGGGTGCAGGTTCCTTCTGGGCCTTGTTCCTGATGTTGGGAGGAGATTCTGTGCCCTTACATAGGGTTCTCTGTCTCCTCCCACCTAGGAGGGGGGTCTCTCTCTGGGAGTGCCCCTTGCCTAGTACTGTGAGGGACCTGTTTCGGCAGGTTCCCAAAGGATCGGGGTCCACCGGCCTTCGGGTTGGTGGACCAACAGTCTCAATCCCCGTCAGGAGCCTTGCGCCCCGGGGGGGCGGGAATCGAGGTCCCTTCTTTGGAAGAACCAAGCACCCTTGTGCACGTTTTGTGTGCTGCGGTTCACTTTTTTTGTTCACAGGGGGAAGTTTGTTTAGATGCACGTTCCACGGGCTTCAAAAAAAAAAAAAAAAATCTCCACTGCTGGCTATTAGGTTCAGACCTGGAGCCAGCATGTGATTGGATGTAGTCAGTGATTGGTCGATAATTGTCCACGTAGCTTGATTTTTAAATCAACTTTGGACAAGCTAGGTGGTGCTTGCAGGGCCACCCATGGCTTGATTTTCAGCCGATTAAGCAGGAGTTGGCCAAAGTTAGGATAATGGCAGAGGTTTGGATACACGTCTTCTGCAGAGGATGTGAAAGCCGCACTGCCGCGTCAAGGCACCTCTTATAGTGCGGTCCTAACTCTAAACTATGAGAGTCTCCATCCATCGTTTGTTTTGCTTGACCGACTTGGTGCAGCGACGCATGGGGTTTCTCAGCTGCCATTAGGATGTGCAGGATCCCTTGTGTGTTTCTGTGCTTTTAAGGAGGCTGGGCTTCCTCCTGACAAACCTGCACCCAATTTGATATCTTCTGCCCCTATGTGCTCCAAGATGGAGACCACTTCGCAGGGTGACGCTGGCATTCATTTCATTACCGCCATCTATTGGGCGAACGTCCATACCACACATCGCTACCGTAATTCAATTCAACTTTGAAAAGTAATAAATTGATAACATCATAATCTGAGCCGACCTGTGACGATGAAACTGTCACAGGTCAGCTCAATAGATCGGGAAGTGAGGGAACACATACCGCCGCTCGCTCACTTCTCGATCTATCCCTGCAGAGAGGCGTGACTGTCACTCACGTCTATGTGCAGGGATTCCCACCTCCCCTCTCCGATCCTCCAGCGCTGACTGGCGGAACGGATGGGGGAGGGGGCGGGCCCGGCTGGCTCTGCCTCTAGATAGGCAGAGCCAGCTGTCACTCACGCAGCTGGGCGGATCCAGACAGTAATGTAGGGATCCATTCCGGCTGCGGCGTCTCAGTATACTGCGAGCTGTAGCTCGCTATATACTGAGCTTTGGGTCATGGTAGAACGCTAGTTGCTGCAGCCGTGTTCTTGGTACCGTTGTAAACAGCTGTAGATACAAGTTGTCTGACGTCTATACAGCCACCGGATCACTTGTACCGATCGGCGGAGTGAGCTGCACCCCCCCCCCCTCCACCACCACGGGCGGGTACCCCGGGGTCCCCT